CCTTCTCCTTCTTCTTCACCTTCTTCTCCAACTTCTTCTCCATGGCTTTGGGTGGTTTTGTGTAACTGGATAAAAAAGTCCCCATTGCAGCCATGGGTGGTTGGTTATTGGGTTAAAAGTGAAAATAATTTAGGTGTCGTTTCTTAACTGGACAGTTTATCCTTTAAAGGCCTTATAGTGAGAGAGAGATGGGGCTCCGTTTTTAGTTTGTTGGAGTGAAGTGCTGCAGAACTGAGGGTTTGTGAGACAGAGATAAGGGTTTGTGACAGAGATAAGAACTAATAAACATCTGAGTCCCAACAAGAAATTCCATATCACACATTTAATCCCAGCCCTGGCAAAAAGAAGTTAAGACACCACAACATCCATCTGCTTCCCTGGGGTTATATTCCAGCCTAGCAGCGCCTGCCTGGAATATCCAGCTCCAGCTCCAATGGAGGTGTTCCCTGTGCCTCCAAAGCAGGAGATTCACACCTGAGCACACTGCAGGTCAATGCTATCCAACAGCACCGCTTCCATTTTCACCAAAGGAAACTCAAACCACCCCAATTCCCACCCATGCTGGGACACCCTCGGCGATCCAGAGGCAGATTCCCATTGTTACAGCTGTCAAGAGGAGATGCCTGGGAAAGGAGCTCAATAAACAGAGAGAGAATGAACAAAGGCAGCTGTTTCCTGGCAGAGCTCGTGGATTTTAGCAAGCTCCCACCTCAGAGCCAAACCCTGGGGAGCTGTGGATGTGCTGTGGCCAGTGCCTGCCTAAGTGGCTCCACCTGTGCCAGGCTGGTGCCACTGAAAGAGGGGATGTGGATCTCCCATTCTCAGCAGCTGTGGCCACGCTGTGTCTCTCAGGTGGCCTCGTGGCCCTTCAGGGTGTGACAATCAGCACCAGGGTCTGATGGGGACAGTGCTCCAGGAGCTGCTCTCCAGGTCCTGCTCAAGCAAAGGGAAACAGGAGTTCCCCTGCTTGATCTCCAGCCCTGCCATTTGCAATTTGTCATCGCCCCTCAGCTCGACAGAGAGAGAATTCCATACGGATTTTGATGCAAAACAGTGAAATCGAAGTTTTCTTCCCAAAGAAAAAGCGGAATGTTCAGCTTTGTAATAGGACTGCTCCTGTTTAAAATGCTGAAAACATGGGGGATGAGCAGAAACGGCAACCCCAGAGTGTTTGGAGTGCTCTTCTCTTCCATAAATCTATTTAGCACCCACCAGCTTCCTCTAGGAAGCAGATTGGAGAAGTCTGGAAGTCCTTTGCAAGGAGAGGAAGGGGACAGAGAAGCAGTGGGTGGTGATTCCTTGACTTTCTGATGATCCCTTCTCACAGTGGGCATGTCCAAGGACAAGGCAATCCCTCCCAGCTCCACACAGACACCGAATCCATGGCACCGGAATCTAGGGAGAGCAGGGATAGGCAGACCTAGGGAATGAGTGCAGGTTCATCTCCCAGGGGTTTCCCACGATGACTGTTTAACCAATATTTCCCGTCTATCTCCTATTTTCTCGTGACCCTGCTAAGTTCAACCCTCCACTAAAAATAACCTCTGTCTTTTATTGCTGGGAAAGGATCCCAGCCTTCACAGAAACAGGGTTTCTAATCTTCACAGAGGCAGATGCTGGAATACCCCAAAAGCTCAGAAACTGGCAGGCAAAATTAATGAGACTTTCCCACTTATTGTTAAAAAAAAAAAAAAAAGTCTCCTGTGAGTTTATAGCAGCTGCAGATCCAGAGGCCTTTTTCACTCTCCAAATAAACTGTACTTTCCACGGCTTTGGGTTGGCTGTGCTGCGGTATGAACTTCAGGAACAGGAACTGATGAGATCTTTGGCAGATATATCCAAAAGAAGTGGGCAGAGACCCCAGCCCTGCTCCGTGTGCTCTAGTTTGGGTTGTTTAAAACACATGAATCTCCTGAGTTCCATGTTAAAGCAGAGGGATGGAGCTGTGGCTTCTTCCAGAGCTGCCCCTCATGAGCTCCACAGCCTGCAGACATCATCAGGAGAGGGCAATTAGCATCCTGCTGCCCAAGGGAGACATGGAAGCCATCCAGGCCTTGGCAGCCAATTCCTGGGATTTCTTATAGGATCTCTGGCATGGCAAACCCTCAGCCAGAACACCCCTGGAGACGCTCAGAACAAAGCAGCCCTTTTCCAAAATTGGGGATCTGGAAATTGGGAATTTCATCCATCAAGGCCTCCCCTTCCTCGACAACTTGGTGTGTTTTGTCAGAGGGCAAAAAAAAAAGGGAAAACAACCAAATTCCGGAGCAGGGACACGGCGCGACAGCTTGGGGTCAGTCCTTGGTTTTGCTGGGAAATTCCAGGAGGGAAATCCCAACTGTTTCCCAGCTATGGAGAATGGCTGGTGGTGACTGTTGCACAGGGCATGAGGCCAGACAGGCTGTGGGGTCAGAGGTCCTCAAAAGCGTTTCCTTGGACTTCTGCTTCCAAGACCAGCAAGGCTGGAGTAACTCCACCCTTTGGAAGAACATTTTGGGAATAGCCTCTTCCCTGGGACGTTAAAGGGAGGAAGAACCCAGAAGGAACAGAAAGGAGCAGTCCAGTGCCATGTGAGGAGCGTGGGGCAAAGCCAAGGGAAGAGCTGGGTCTTGTCAAACCTCATCCCAGATATTTAACAGCAAACCTGTTCTTCCGCTCCTCGTTCCAGCTCCTGGAACTGCCAGGTGTCTGTCCTTCCTTCCTTCCTTCCTTCCTGGAGTCCTTCCTTCCTGGGGTCCTTCCTTCCTTCCTGGTGCCCTGGAGTCCTTCCTGGAGTCCTGGAGTGTTGCAGTGTGTTTTAAACTTCTGGGTCCCTTACCCAGGCGTGCCAAAACCCTCCCTTTCCCCCTCACCCCCTTGCTGAGTGAGTCCTGTTAATCAGGCTTAACATTCCAGCAAAGGCGTTGCGTGGTTGGTCAAATTCAAAGGATGCCCCTCAGGCCCAGAGGTCATTGGCCTGTCTAGGTGTCCCTCGTCCCTTGAGACCCCGCCCCTCCCACCTGGTTGATGGCTCACCTGTCCCCTCCCCTCCCCCTGAGCTTAAAAGGTGAGTCCAGCCATGTGCTTGGATTCTGTTGGACTTCTTCCCAAGATTCAGACATCTGTAACCATGGAATAAACCTCTGGATATTAAACCCTCCAGCAGAATCCCTCCTTTTCTCTTCACCATCGCTTGAAGCTTTCCTCCTGAGGTAAACGGAGTTCCTAACAAGCCTGGACTTGTTTAGTGCCCTGCTGAAACCATCAGCAAGCTAAAGGTGTCTCTGGGGTGAAGCACCACAGAAGCCGCCTCTGGCTCAGCAGCGAGGGTCAGACTGGCCCAGGCACAATCTAACTGGTAATATTTGGATTCATATTCCAATACTGGAGTCCTGGAACCCTTCCTTCCTTCCTGAAGTCCTTCCTTCCTTCCTGGAGTCCTTCCTTCCTGGAGCCCTTCCTTCCTGCAGAGAGGTTAACAGGGAGCAACTATTTTTAGCTCTGAAGCAGCAGTTGGATCACCCTGTGTTATGGCAACAGATCCTGTTATTCCTGGTTTCCCCTGCTCCTTTCAAGGCATCGGAGCCATCGGGGCTCCCGTCCAGCTCACAGCAAACTCACAAAAACCTCTGGATTTTGGGACTGCTTCGCTGCATGGCTGCTAGGAGCATTAGAGGCAGAGAGGAAAGGCCCCTCAAGGAGTCCCAGAAGGAAGGAGAGGGACTCCAACCTGAGGAGAAACCTCTGGAGAAGCCACCCCTGAGAGCTGGAGTGGGGAGGGCAGAGCCGAGGGCACCTGGAGGTCCCTTCCATCCCATGGGGTGAACACCAGCACCATCAGCTTGCCCAGCCCGGAATGTGGGGCTCCAGAACCATGAAATGCTGCCTGGTTTGGCTCCAGAGCAACAAATCTCCCTTCCCAGAGGTTACTCTGCACTTGGAGCAGGTCTGCAGGAGCGTTTGCCAAGGTTCAGACAAGAGCAAATGCTCAAACCAGGTTTGCTGTGTCTTTGGAGGGTTCATTGCAGAGTCCATGAGTGTGGACAGGACATCTCCTTCCTGCTGTGGGATAGCAATTCCTGCGTTTCTCCTGGAAAAATCCCAGAATAAAACATCCAGG